TTTTCAGAAATTTTTCTTATTTTCAGGAATTTTTGCAATTTTTGCTATTTCTGCAATTTCTGCAATTTTCAGGAATTTTTGGAATTTTTGCAATTTTCAGGAATTTTTGCAATTTTGCAATTTTCAGGAATTTTTGCAATTTTCAGAAATTTTTCTAATTTTCAGGAATTTTCGCAATTTTTGCTATTTCTGCAATTTCTGCAATTTTCAGGAATTTTTGCAATTTTTGCAATTTTCAGGAATTTTTGCAATTTCTGCAATTTTCAGGCATTTTCGCGATTTTTGCAATTTCTGCAATTTTTGCAATTTTCAGTAATTTTTGCAATTTTTGCAATTTTCAGGAATTTTTGCAATATTTGCAATTTTCAGGAATTTTTGAAATTTTAACAATTTTCAGGAGTTTTTCCAATTCTCAGAAATTTTTGGAATTTCTGCAATTTTTGCAATTTTCAGGAATATTTGCAATTTTTGCAATTTTCAGGAATTTTTGCGATTTTTGCATTTTTTACAATTTTCAGGAATTTTTGCCAGTTACAATTTTCAGGAATTTTTGCGAGTTTTGCAATTTTCAGGAATTTTCGCAATTTTCAGGAGTTTTTCCAATTCTCAGAAATTTTTGCAATTTCTGCAATTTTTGCAATTTTCGCAATTTTCAGGAATTTTTGCAATTTCTGCAATTTCTGCAATTTTCAGAAATTTTTGCAATTTTTGCAATTCTCAGGAATTTTTGCAATTTTCGCAATCTTCAGGCATTTTGGCTATTTTTGAAAATTGCAAAAATGCCTGAATATTGCAAAAATTCCTGAAAATTGCAAAAATGCCTGAAAATTTGCAAAAATTCCTGAAAATTGAAAAAAATCCTGAAAATTGCAAAAATTCCTGAAAATTGCAAAAATTGCAATAACGACCACGCACACATTATATGGGAAAATGTCTTTTGGTGAAAATGGCTGGATTTCTGATATGTTGTAGTTGTAGTCATTCTAAGTGAAAGACTCCATTGGCCCAACTCGATCGTATGACCAGATTCGGCGCTAGAGGGTGAAACATCATGAATTTTGTGTATTTTTGAGTCTTCAAAGCTTTATGAAGAATATGAAAATCTCGTGATATGCATTCACCCTACCAGAATTCATTAAAAATAGATATGTTCCAAGGTCACAGAAGGGATGTAGTAGCCTTTTTACAGGGTGCCCAGGGTGGTCAACAATAAACTAATTTTCAGAAAATCCAAATGCCATCGTCTATATTCACACACACACACATCCACATATACACCTAAATACAAAAATCATAACAAAACATTGAATCATTTTGTCACGAAGTGGATTTTCATGCAAGATCTTTCCTTGGTTAAGAAAAGTTAAGCTTTCACTTAGAATGACTACAGCTACAACATAACAAAAATCCAGCCATTTTCACCGAAAGACATTTTTCCAAATAATGTGTGCGTGGTCCTTCAACAGTGAAAAGTAAATAGTTATTTATGTATCAAGGGAATTATTATAAGGGCCTTTATCGTTATCGCTAAGTGAAGTTGCTGAGAACTTTACAAAACCAAGAATTTGGTAGGTCTCGTCAAAATAAATAAATTTTTTTCCTATGAAATATTTATCGAAAAATGATTTGTTTTCTGTATTTCAACACCCTGTATCTCCGAAATGTAGCATTTCCGGACACAAGCTTATATAGACTCTTTTTCTTAAAATTGTCTCAGGAATACTTCACTTGAACGTACTTATGTTACTTCCTGTATATAGAGAATACCTACCTTTAATTTGATATTGATAACTTCATATTTTATACTTATCACTGGAGTACAGTTTCACATTCAATAAGGAATTATAGCTATAAGTTAATTATATGTGTATATTTTCTAATATTTCCATGTTGTTACATGCATTCTTTTTATTTCTATAACAGTTGTTCTGATAGAAGTGTATCACTATATAAATATTGAAGTGGGTGTTTGTACCCTATATCCATTGTCCATCTACGGCTATGATTGATTTGACAGAAAATATAACCTCTAAAATCTTATCTGACAATCAGGCACTACTAGGGAAATTGAAAAGACAAAGAGCAGAATATATGTCTTATTCTTTTATTCACTTGAACCATTGTATTATAGAAAATAGAAAAGGACAAAAGTTCAACTGTGTCCGAACTCTTATCAAACTAATACCATCCACTGACTCTACGTGTTCATATTTGATACAGGGTGAGCAGATTGTTATTTAGTCAGAGCAAAATGAATGTAGCGGAAACCGTCTTTTGGTGTTTATGAGGTAGAGGTTTATAATTCAATATCTATAACTCAATGAATAATTTGCCTTCCTTAAAACAATTTCCTCTTGAAATGGCAAATCATGCTCTCATATTAAAACTATAAAGGTGAGTGCATTACTTAGATATATAGCAAGTGAGCTATATTTTGTCTCTGGGAACGTAACGAACAAACTAGCGAATAATAAATAAATCTGCAATTCCGACTGGGAACACAAAAAAGTACAAAAGATCATTCCGTTCTGGGGTTTCTCTCACGGTAATTGTTTTTTATTCGTTTTGCCACAAATATTTTCTTCGTTTCATGCGAAGTTTGAACAGATTTAATTTGTGGCTGGATACCATTAGCTGAGCATTTCTCACAAAATTCGGAACAGCGGTATACTGTTATAAAACCGTAACGCTATATTAATTTCAGAGTTAATTATATAAGATATAGATATTTGAATATTTTTTCATATATCATGAGAAAATATTTATTGAGGAGACTACGAAACTATACAGCGTGTCCCTGGACTTCATCTTTTCCTCTCTGTATGTATAGATGAAGTCAGAATATCACCAGTACTACTAATAGAGATTACCTGATTACTATACATGTGGTTGAGTGTGATTTCAAATTAGGTATAGTCTGAGTTAGTTAAAACTGGAAATGGTTTGTTTAAATTGTTTTGAGGTGAGAAAAAAATATGTATACGCAGTTCCAACTTTATTATAATTTCTGCACATTGAATTGATCGGGGAATGAAAATGGTGCTGTGTATTAGACACATCAATGTGGAATGTATTTTTATACCGAGACTCTAATCGGGGTATACTGAACTCGATTTGCCAAAGTAATACTGAAGAGTATATAGCGTTGTGTATAATTTTGTAAATCACCTATTTCTCTCCTCTTCTTCAGCGATTGGAACTTAAACTCATTCAACAGGTCATAATTATAATTCCTTCCAGGGTAGCCTTTATATTTCAATAGCAGAAATTGTTTGTTGGTGGTACGAATTCCATACCTGACCGCAGTATTCCAGTGTACTTCTAACCAAACTGAAAAAGTGCTTCTAATGATTTGAATTCACAAGTACGAATTAATAAACCCAAGGATATCGTACATAAGAGGAGTATTTTTCCGTGAATACGTCATCATCTTACATTTGCTGACATTGATCGATAATTTGTTTTTTCTACGGCTATACCTAACACAAAATTGCTCTTGATTTACTGTGTTTGATACATCAATGAGGTACTCTGTATGTCATCAATTATATTTCCGTATATCTGATATCACAATAACTCCATTGTGTTATTATTTCAAAAAAATCTCATCGCTCATGGAATGTCAAATTGCAAGCAATGACAGCTCTGTCAAATAGATGAGCATTACTTGACAGAAAATCAGATGGCTTTCAAGACGAAGAAATCGAAATAATAATAAAAATAATAATAAAATTTATTGAATCCTTCACGATCATAAAAAATGACATAGGATACGTCAGACAACAAGAAGTTCACACACAATTTATATACAGATGCATGAAAATATAACAGAACCACATAGTACACCAAATATTCAGTCTGCAACCTTTCCTAGTACCACAAAGTATATGAAGATAAATGAAATGCATTTCATCGATTGAAATATTCGTCGATACTATAAAAACAACCGTTTATCAGAAATTCTTTGAGTTTAATTTTGAAATGATTTTCTCTTTTGTGTACATTTTTTATTTCGTCAGATAAGTGATTATACAATTTTACTCCCTTACAAGATGGACATTTTTCATACAGACTAGAGTTGAATGTTTCTGAAGTCTTATCAATTCACCGTGCCTGGTAGGATACGTATGAAAGTCACAGTTCCGATCATGATTCTGCATTTGTTTCCTGAATAATAAAATACATTTGTAAATATAAATGCAAGGTACACGTACACACAAGATCTTATTCTCAATAAAGTGTTGCCTACAAGATTCTCTGTAGTCTATTCCATATATTAGCCGTATGACCCTTTTCTGTGAGACGAATATTTTGCTGAGTTTTGACGAACATCCCCAAATGGCAATATTATAAGAAATATGGGAATATACAACAGCAAAGTAAACATTCAGAAGTTGAGCCTTATCGAAAGTGGACCTCAATTGTCTACCCACTGTTCACTTTCTTACTGACATGATTTATACCATCGATAAAAGTACCTAGAAATTTGGTGTTGTCTGATGGTTTAATTATTGCATCACCCACTCTAACATGAAGATTATCAATTTTTCTATTAGTTCTGGAATAAAACTGCATCAGAACAGTTTTCTCTACATTCACCACTAAAGAGTTTTTATTACACCAAAATGCCGCTGTTATCTATTATAGCCGTAGGAAAATTATAGTGTATAAATTGCACGGGATGCTAGTTTCCTACTCGAATGATTGCAGCATTCGCCTATGGCTCATGCTGCAAACTTCATTCTCGTAGGAAATCACTATCATTACGTGCTCGTTAAACAATATACTATATTGAACACTGGCATTTCATCAGATTCAGATCATTTTGCAAATGATCCCATTCATCCGTGTCAAATAACCAACAGTACGATTTTTCTCCATTTCCACTATACCTATACTGTCCCTTCACCATAATTATCGTTTGATGAATTGAGAAATGCTGACAATATATTTTTACAATAATAATATTCAAATGTTTTTTTTTTCTTTCAGATATCAATATGCAAATGGAGCATAGCATTTATAGCAGCTCTGCGTCAATCCCTATAGACAAGAGGATATCAACTATATCGATTTCTTCGAAGCAGCACGATAATGCAGAATACGCTATTAATAGATTATCGCAGAAATACGATTCTTATCAAGAATTTCTCTACAGGTAAATTGATTATCATTACTATACTATTTGATATATTACAATATAGGGTGTTCGAAAAGTCACTATGGAAGACTTTGATTACAAAGAACCTCTACTTCTACAACCCAGTTTTTTATTTTGATCAAGTTGTTGAATTTATTGAAATCATATCGACGGTCACCTCACGTAGTGACGTATCTCAGTTTTGGGAAAATCACGTGAGATCAATTGCTAGAAGTGCATCCCAAAAATTTGGTTTTCTGTTTCGGTCCAGGAGCTATTTCACTTCCAGTCAGCTGCTTATGATCTATCAGGCACAGATCCGACCTGTCCTGGAATACTGTTCTCATATTTGGAGTGCAGCACCCAAACATACCCTGAAACTGTTGGATTCTGTCCAAAAAAATGCAATTCGTCTCGTTGGTGATGCCTCGCTCACAAACTCACTTCTCTGGAACACCGAAGAAAAGTTGGCGATCTGGCTCTTTTTTATAGATATTTTCATAGACGATGCTCTTCTGAAATATCAACAATTGTTCCTCCCTTGGCAGTCTCCGCGAGATTAACCCGTCGAGTTGAGGATTCGCACCCCTTCGTGGTCACTTTGGAGACTTGCAGAACATCTCTTTCCAACGAACAGCGAGGCTCTGGAACAACACATTGCCAAGGGAGGTGTTCCCCGAGGCATATAACCTCCAGAAATTTAAGATGAACACCAATTCCTACCTTATTTCCCTTGGTTCTCACGATGTTCTCTGAACATTACAGGATATCCCTTTTCGTGGGAACCAGAACATAAAAAAGAGCAGTTCAAAGAATTTCAACATCTTAATTCGCCTACAATTCAGAGGCTTGTTCATGAAAGATCAATCTTTTTTCATCTATTAGTGGAAGAACTAGAGCTAGTTGTTATGATATGGTGAGATTTCGAAAAAGCATCGCCAAAAACAAAAAAAAAACATATGTTTGTAAGATAAATCACTACGTGAGATCATGTTTGTTATATATAGATACGCCCATGAATATAAAGTGAATTCAAATGAATAACAGGTCCAAATGGTAATTTTCATTGAATAAAACACAGAAATTCATTCAACTTGTACAATACTTCACAATACCTCTTTCAGTATCTTGAGAAGTTACCCAAGATATTTTAATTTCCGCGGCAAATCCGATATGTTCGCTGTCACTCTTCGGTATTGATAATGTAATTCATTTTGTTGAAATGCAATTACATAAGTTCCATCCATATTTTTTAACTTTCAGGAAGACGAATTCGATATAAATTCAATAGGTTAAAAACAGAAACAAACCAACTTGAACGATCTAACCTCTAAGAATAATTTAATCATCATATATTATTTCGTATTCCATTGGGAATGCACCAGTTCATATTTTGGAGAAAACCAATGTAGTGCAAGTACACAACTGGTGCAAAACTAGTGCACCACCAGGTTAAGAATGGAATTTGTCCTATATTGAGGTTCTTATCGCACTGTGGAGTTTGTAAAAAAATAATATATACGTAGTCTTTCTTTTTTGCGTAAGATCAATTTTCACTTCAAAAATAAATAAATAAAAGAGGAACTTGGCTCCTCCACCATTCCTTCGACGTACTTTCTGAAAATCCACATTCACACAGAGTTAAAATACGAACGATTCCCTGTGCCAGTACGACGTTGTCGACATGATCAATATATGTCTAGATTTCCGGAAATTGTTCTTTGAATGCATAATAACTATATCATAACAGCAATGGGATATACATAATAGGTTCTTCAATCCTACTTTGTCAAGTATTATGAATAATTCCCATAAATCTCTCATTTGCTGAATGAAGCTGATTAAGATAAATTATTCGCGGCAGCTATATTCTTCACCATCAGCTATTTTCAGACTAGATTCAGGATGTACGTCACAGTTTGCCGCCCTGAAAATTAGAAATTGCTTCAATTTGAAAATGAAAACGACTTGGACTCTATCGGTCGCCATTCTGTACAGCGTGGACATTAAACTGAAGAGTTCAGAACTTATTTCATGAAAATTCATCGGAAAGAACCTTCCCCATTCGTTATTACTTTAGTAGTACCAGACAAGTTTAGAGTAGAAATGGGAAATAGTATATTGTGCAACAAGTGGGAAAACTTTTCTCACGAATGTTAAAGTTTGTGGCACGAGCCTGAAGGGCGAGTGATGCAAACACACGAGTGAGGAAAGTTTAACTTTATTTTTTCTACAACTGCACTTATTCAAAGAATCCGAGTAATGTAGCTCATTGGTATTCATTTTATAAAGTGGCACTAGGCCACATTGAATATTGTGACCAAAGAGTAGACGCCTTCCCTAGTTCCTCAAAGTATTTAAAAAAAGTACACTTTCCGAAAAATACTTTATTTCTGTATTTTTTATATTCCATAAATTTTTCGTACCAATATGTCAATTCATACGTTTTTCTTGAAATTTCTGGAAACAAATCCAACTTTCGCAGCTTTTTCTATTATCTCTGTGTCTGGCGGTGTATTTATCAAAATCGTCACATCTCGGTATATACATGCATCATATTATTTATTATGAATTGTTGGAACAATATTTGATGGAAAATGCGATTTCTATCAGAAGCCTGAAGAATTTAAAAAACTTCTTCTGACGGTTGTGACAACTATTCAAAGCTGAACAGCAGCCAAGTTTTGATCGATTTTTGTTGATTCTCCATGGAAATGTATGTGGTGTTGACAAAGTGCTGTGAGAATAGTAGATTGTTTTATTAGTATCAAAAGTGACACTTTGTTTGACAAGCGAATTTTGCATTTGCGAGGCGGAGCGTTTAGCGAAGCCGAGCGAAAGCATAATTTGCGAGTCGAACAAAGTCACTTTTGATCCGAATGAAACATGCTATTTTTTCTGCAACCGAAACAATGAACTCAAATAAATATGTGAAGTAACCACCTATGCCGTGCCATATGTATGCAATGCAACAAATATTGACAAATAATTCGTGTGGTCATGTGGTGAGAATATTCTACCTGCATCAACAGCAGGCTTATTCAATTTTCAAGGATGTTCAAATTGTAGTTTCAATATAAATACAACCACAGAGTGACATATTTGTGTATGGACCAGGTGCTCTAATGGCAAATACCGCGCCAGTGCCAGCTATAGGAACAAGACGTGGAAAATGTTAGGTTAGTGAGCATATCAACAATAATAATAGCGATTATTTATTCCTCTCCATACTATACTGTGTTTTACTATGGTTTTACTTGATAATCAAATGAAGCTAAACAATATCGTTGTTTGAGACAAAAAACTATTGCTTACCGTGATTATTCAAAAACAAGTTATCCATCCAGAGAATAACGAATGAAATACAGATCAAGCAAGTATTTGAATTTTGAAGGCTTCCCTGATCAAAACAAAAATACTCAACTGAGATGTTTATAATTCCAATACTTAACTATGATAAGGTGTATTAATATCTCCAGCATGGGTATGAAATGCCAAATCTGCCGAAATCGGAAACAAATCAGGTATGCGTCTCAACCCAAATATCCAACAGTCACAATGTTGTTTATTCTTGATGACGCCCAGCACATCCTTCTTAGTTCCTAGGAGCTAAAAATCAATTTTAGCTCCTAGGAACTAAAGTTCAACTTTGGCTCCTAGGAACTAAATATGTTGCCTAGCAACATACCTATTTTTGTGTCAGTAATAGAAACGTCAATTTAAGAGCTAATTTTGGTATCAAAATGGACGACTTTTGTGTCGGTTGCAGAAAAAAATATTTCTCACAGTATGAGCAATACATGGTTTTGAAACTGAGTAAGCTATGAGAAATGCGCTACTTTTCTTCGCAGTAGTAGAAAAGAATATTTCTCGCAGTTGGAGCAATACATGGTTTTGAAACTTAGTTAGCTATGAGAAATGCGCTACTTTTCATAGCAGTAGTAGAAAAAATAGTAACCTGAAGCTTGTTTCCTAATCAATCTTTCTATTCGTATCCAGAAATCAGTTGAGGAGAAGACTTTCGTCGACCGGAGACAACAGTGGCGATTCCAGCACCACTGCTTCCGGCAGCAGCTACGGAGAAAGGGATGAGGGTAGCGAGGGTAGAGCAGAGAGTGACGAAGTTGACCCGGATCGAGAGGAAGAAAAAGAGGAGGAAGAGCCTCTAGGAGGTTTGGTGTCGGACTTGGAGAAGCAGGCGGTGGAGACCTTCTTCAAAGGATTGAAGACACAGGTGAGAATATTCATTTATCTATGGCTCATGCTGCAAACTTCATTCTCGTCTGTACGTGTTGGGGTTGTTTCACAAATAAGGCAAATGCAAAGGTCCGTTAGACAGTGATAGTTTATACTCATACAATACACGCAATAGCAAGAAGTTATTCTTACCCAATGCATCTATGGAAGCCTATAAAAAATCCATTTGCTTTAAAGGTGTTCAAATATATAATCAACTTCCTGTTGAAATGAAAGAATGTAACAGAGCAAATTATTTAATAAAAAACTGAAAAAATACCTTATGAGTAAATAGACGCTTTGAATTGGCTACATTTGTAATCTTTTCAAGATTTTTCGTAAAAACGCAAAGTAATGATAGGTAGTGAGAAATTCTGTGATATAATTAGGCTATTATCAATACTACGCAACCAATGTACTTGACAAAATGTACTCTATAATTTTAATGACTCCTTTTTTTATATGACATGTTTTTTTTAGAGTAAGGACCTCTATGAAAATGTAATTTTCCGTGGTTCAATAAAGACTTCTTCATGTTTATTCGCAGCATACACCAATCTGAAATTGAGTAATCATATCAGTTCCGGCACCTTACCTAACCTCAAACAAGCTTGAAATATCAGTCTCCAGAAAGGAATAGTAGAAAAATAGCGACTCCTATACATAATAATAGTGACTTATCTGAAATCCACCCAAAGGCTTTTAGATTGCTTAATGCGTATCAAAATGGCTTCTAACGGCCTTATACGAAGTCCAAGCTTCAGCAGCAAGATCTTCGAGTTGCAGGACAAGACGGCGCAAGAACCTAATGCGACCCTCAATAATATTGAAATCTTACTCTTAGCGACACCTGAAGGAGTGTCAAACAAGGTAGGTAACGGTAAGGATGCAGACTGATAGGAATCTAACGCGGTTCTTGATTAGCCCGGACAGATATCTGTAAGGCAGTGATCTCCGATCGAAGTATTTTGGTACACGTCACAAACTCACTCACTTTTCTGGAACACCGTAGAGAAGTTGTCGATCTGGCTCTATTTTATAGATATTTTCATGGAGGATGCTGTTCTGAAATATCAACAATTGTTCCTCCCTTGACAGTCCCCGCGAGATTAACCCGTCGAGTTGAGGCTTCGCACCCCTTCGTGGTCACTTTGGAGACCTGCAGAGTATCTCTTTCCAAAGACTCGTTCATCCAACGAACAGCGAGGCTCTGGAACACATATCCAAGGGAGGTGTTCCCCAAGGCATCTAACCTCCAGAAATTCAAGAAGAACACCAATTCCTACCTTATTTTCCTTGGTTCTTACGATGTTCTCTGAACATTACAGGATATCCCTTTTCGTGGGAACCAGAACATAAAAAAAGGAAATCACTATCATTCCGTGCTTGTTAAACAATATACGATTGTTTCACTAGGCAGCAAATAGTTAGATTGACTGCCGCGACCTATAGTTCATAGCCGAGCGTATATATAGCAAGGCTAAAAATTCAGCCATGGCTGTAAAGGTACTTTGCTGCCATGTGAAACATATTTTATACCCCGAACATGTCTGTTTTGAATTTCATCGTAACGTCATCTGATGACTTGACGACCGCGCATAAAACCATTTTTTCTACAAGCTTGCGTGATTCACCCTATACCCGCACGCAATTTTGTTTGGGAAGTGTCATTTTCACGCAGAAGTGCAGGAAAAGTTTTCCTATACTAGTGCGGGAAATTTCTTCCTACACTAGTGCGGGAAAAACAATTATGATGATTATATTATCGCGAATTATAAGTGGTTGGTGATGGAATATGAAAGTTTAAGCTTGCTTGCTGCTACATTATTAGGATATTAGGTAAGCTTGTTTAAAATCATCCATCAAATTGCACTATTTATTATGAAAATGAAGCATCTTCTTTCTTTCTCAAGAATAATAAATAATTCTTTATTTGGGTTCATGTGTAAGCAATCTGAGTTTTGATGTGTTTTTTATAAAAATATTCATTTTTCTTTATTTTTCAGTATTCTATATAATTATAATACATATTTCCAACATATAAATATATTGCCTGAAATTTTACAGCACCAGTCATAAAAAAGCCACTTTCAATGCCGTTTTGGAGTAAAATATAATTCTTTGAGTGTTATGGAAAAGCGCAATAGGAAAAGTTGCTGATAGGTTGGGGTCAGGTGGAAAACTCAAAATAAGTGATGTGAACGAATGGAAATCCATTGAACTACTTATAAATTCTCCACTTTCTAGCTACGAATTGTAAGGAACATAATATATCGAAAGGGTACAAAAAACTTTGTTCGTGTGTGGCTTCCCTTTGTTGAGTACCTACCTGGATAATTGCATCTGAATTGTGCCCTCACGAAAACAAGATGTTTCCTGCCATGTATTCTTTTTTAATCTCTTGGAGCGCACGAAAAGAAATTCCTATAATGTTCGAAGAACATCGTGTTTACCTAGGGAGGATAAGCAGAGGGAGTAGGTGTTGGATTTATTTTTGAACTTTTGGAGGTTATAATCTCTTGGGATTACTTCCATTGGCAGAGAATTCCAAAGCTTTGCCGTTCTACAGACCAACGAGTTTTGGTAAAGTGTTGTTCGACATAGTTCAAGGTTTACAATGAAAGGATGTGCTGACTGGGCTTATCGAGTTCGCCTGACTGGTATTGCAAGTGATGAAATGATAGCAGAGATTTCTGAGTAACATTTCCTGTGGAAGTATCTATAAAAAAGTGAAATACCGCCGACTTTTTTACGTTGCTCTGATGAGGTCAAAGGAAAAGTGAGTGTGTCATCTCAATCGCCCATGATTAGGTGAAGAAATAATCACAATAAAAGTGTCATTCACTCATATTATGATGAGTTCATACCTTTGAGAAATGCATGAAATCAAGCATAATAAAATAAGTCAAAATATACAGAAAAATATGAGAATTATTTGTTCAGCCACTGAGAGAGCATCATGTGATTTTTGCCAAGTTCAGGGAAATAATGAGTATGGAGAAATTTTCTAGAATCATAGAGATGAAAATTCAGCTGATGTAGTTATTCGTAATATTTTCCTAGAAATTATGTTTTTGTGTGAATATAAATATTTATTATTTGAAGGAGTTATTTACCATTAAGTAGGCACCTTCTTCTGAGACAATAAACATTGATATAACGTCTGGAGCAAATAGAGTGATGAATGATTATTTTTCAACATGAATATTCATTGATGATGAAATTATTCGTTGGTCGAAGAAAGTATTCATGTTTCATAAGGTCACAGGTTTTTCTAAATGGGATGTTATATTGAGTGTTCTTCTATTCACGGACATTTTTTCGAAGTGATTTAGGAAACGTGCAATATTGTAGTTTAATTCCATTCCAACATAGGAAATCACCGTTTCTTCAATATCTCACGTATTTTGGATTTGACTTATCTAGGAATCCACGAAGTTGTTCCTATATGTTGACTGGGGTAATCTATCTAAATGAAGAATTCATAATTTCAAAAACACATGATTGTTGCAGCATCAATATGAACAGACGATTTCATAAAATCTCACACATTACTCGAAGAAAGCATAATATTTTGTTTTTTCCGAGAGTCCTGCTGCTTTTAAAGCCAGGTGGATTTTTTCTCTAGGAGTGAATCTGATCTTGTTACCGTGAAGTATGGTTTGAAAATCGCCCAAACTTTTTTTAATGTGAGGAAATGCACAACGAAACATTTTTTTTATCTAAAAACACCTATATTTCACATTCTGTATGAGATAGATCGAGATATTGATTTCAAGATTTGAGAAAGATGATTTGCAGAAGAATGAATCAATCAATGCATGGGGAATACGGTCAATACGGAAGCTCCTAAACTTTTTTCTATTATGTCATTAAATTTTTACCACTTATTGGTATGTTATAGCTGGAAAACTTTGATAAGATCTGAACAGTTAATCTCGAGCAGTTCGTCTTTTGAACACTGCATTTCGATTGAAAATTGGTTGATTGATGAACAACTTCAAAAATTCTAGTGGTCCACTTGTTTCTTCGACCACTTTCTTATTCCTACACGGAAAAAAGGATTGGTTGCATCAATCAATTATTTATGCTTGAATTATTTTTGTTGGACTGAGCAATTCTTTGTTGAATCAACCAGACACATGATTATTTCATGGAAGCAGCTTGTTCAAATCAAAAATGTAGTCTAATTGAATCAACAGTATAATATCAATTCCATCAACAAAATATTTGGTTTTCTCAAGAACAAATTATGTCGATCCACAATTATGTCGATGCAGATTCAACTATGAACATTTTGTTGATTTGATTGAATTATGATCATTTTGATGAGAATATATATCTTTGAAACCACATACCAGTTTTCTTATTCCGATGTAGCAAATGAACCCGTTTCGAAGGGATCATTTGCTTGAATAGAGCAACGAAATATGTCACAAAGAGAGAAACTCAAAGTAATTACCACAACTAGTTCATACAATGAACGACAATGGTAGATAACGAGAGAAAAACAACTACTTTCCTGGCTATATGCCACGCAGAACATTGCATTACATCCTCCCGAAACCTATGCGATATCAATGAAATATTTTGTTCATTCTACATCAAGTTCCATTTTCGCCTCTAGATGGCGATCATTTCGCCTCGTCTATGCATGCCTCGAATTCATTATATACGCGAGGCCGGATTCTTCGTCTTTGAAATATCAGCTGGATAAATCGAACTTAGGAAGATTAGCAATCCGAAATAGTTTTGCTTCAGCTGAAGGGAAGTAAAGACTGGAGACCTATGCTAAAAGTCGACTAGTTTCGTAGTTTAGTTTATTCTTTTGATGTGAAATTTCAGAAAACTCCCGAATTAATACTGAATTTGATTCAACAAAACAATTTGTCGAATGAAAATACAATTTCTTGTGTATCAACGAAATATTACATTGGATCAACAAAATATTTCATTGAATTAACCAAATATTTTATTGAATTAACCAAATATTTCATT